CGAGTCCTCAAAAAATTAAAGATAGAAATTTATTTGATCCACCTATTTCCCTTCTAGGTATCTTCCCAAAAGTTAAAGACATCTTACCACAGTGATGTACATATATCTATGTTTATAGCAGTGCAATTCATAATAGTTAAATTTTGGAAGCAGTCTATATGGCCGTCATCAGATGAATAAAAGAAAATGTGATATTTATACACAATGGAGTACTACTCTGCCTTAAAGAAGCATAAACTGGGGTCACTTGTAGGAAAATGGATACCCTTTGCGATCATAATGTTAAGCAAAATAAATCAGACACATAAGCTTAAATACTGCATGGTTTCTCTTATACGAAAAACTCAATATACATATATAGAGTACAAAATAAAAGAAAGTTAATAAGAAAAAATGAGAAAGATAGAGAAAAAAAGTTATTGTAATCTAGCACGAACAATGTATCTAAAAGCGTACTTTGACTTAGTACAATTGTCTTACATGTTTTATATGTTCTTCAGCCTATTAGTCTAATTTTCAAGCTGTATATATGATAAGTAACTGTATAGGGTCTGATGAGATAAGTAAGTGAATCTGAAGCTAAAAAATAAAAGAGGGGTAGAAGGAAGGGGAAATAAAAGAATTGAAGTGTGTTATGTACATGTACCAGTTTCCTATAGTGAATATAATCATTATGTACTGAAAACATGTACTAATAAGTCAAAAAATAAAAAGTATGCTGCTATTTCTATCTTTCAAGAATTCTGTGTGTGGTGCCATAAAAATTTATTATTAAGAAATATTTGAGGGGAAACTTCCCAAGGCGTTGTTTTATTTAAATCCTCCCCCTTTTTAAAATCAACAAACAGTATGGTGGCACATCCCTGGGATGCCAGCACTCAGGAGGCTGATGCAGGAGCATTACTGCAAGTTCGAGGCCAGCCTGGGCCACATAGTGGGTACAAGGCCAACCTAAACTATATAGTGAGTCCCTGTCTCGAAAAAAATTCAACAAATATTTATTGATCACTTATAGACAGAGTATCAAGAAATAAATTAATAATGCTAATTTTGGTCTCAAATATCTAAAAAATGCAAATAATTCTTTTCATGTATATAGAAGATAGACTTATCTCAATTTCATATATAACAGCTTATTGTGTAACAATGTAAGACCTGCTAATTTTGCTTTTATTTAATCTTAGTTTAGTTAGTTAGTTTTGTGGAACAGGTGGTACAGCTTTAGGAAAACCAACAACTCCGGCTATCAACACTTTTGCTGGTAATGTCTGTTTCTATTTGCACAAGTCTCCACTTTTCTGGTTATTCCAGTTTGTTAAGCAAATTATATTAAAGAAAATCAGTTAAGCAATAATTAGGAAATAATGAGGCCTGAATCAAATGTGTTTATCCCTTTAAGGAGCTCAGGGAAATCTCAGGAAAGTACCAACCATTGGTTTAGCCAAATTCTGTTAGACAGGAATTTTCTTTGTAAGGACTATTTAGGTCTGAAATAAGTTTCCTAAAATAACTTCAAGGGAAATATCTTAGTTTGTTTATCCTTTGATATACAGACTGTAAATCTAGTGTTTGCCTGGATAATATATTTGATATGCAGTTTTATTTAGTGAGAAAGTATAGGTAGCTAATTCTTTTTCATTTTTAAAATTTGTGTCAGTACGTGTTTGTAGTGCATGATGAGCACGTTCCTGGAGGATAGCTGGTACATGTATATAGCACACCTCAATTCTTTTCTCATCCCTTTCCATTTCCTCTACCCCTTCTCTCCCCTCCCTTCATCTCTTGGTCCTTCCCTTTTGCAAAAAATCAATCTCTCTGTTTCCTATTATCTATCTTTTGTTTTGCTCCTTGATTTATTTATACTTTGGATTTCTCATGTAAGAGAAATTGTGCATAAGCTTGTGTGTGTCTGATTTATTTCACTTAACATTATGGTCTCAAGATGCATCCATTTTCCTACCAATGACTCAAGTATATCCATCTTTGTGGCAGAGTAGTACTCCAATGTGTCTAAATACATTTTCTTCATCCATTTGTTGATGGACATACAGGGCGCTTTCAAGATTTAGCTATCATGAGTTGTGGTGCTATAAACATGGTAATGCATGGGTCACTGGAATATGATGACTTAAACTCTTTCAGGAATATACTTAGAAGGGGAATAGCTAGGTAGAATGGAATTGGTAATTTCAGTTTTTTGAGGAATCTCCATACTGATGCCCATAGTGGTTCTACTAGTTTACATCCTTAGATAGTTCTGTTTTTGTTGGCTGTTGCAGTAGTTGGAGCTCTCCAGAGGAACAGAGCCAATAGGAAGTACATTCATGATGATGGAAGGGGAGTGATTAGGCTTACAGGGTCAGAGTTGGGAGAGTCCACAGTGGCCACCAGAGGCATCAGAAGCAGGAGAACACACAGTGGCTGAGTGTGCACTGGGGAGCTGGAGGACCCAGTAGCTGCTAGTCCAATATGATGGAAACTAAAGAACAAGAAGGCTCAAGGAACTAGGCGTGTTGTCACACGCCTGTAATCCCTGCACTCATGACGCTGAGGCAGGAGGGTTGCCATGAGTTCAAGGCCAGCCTGGGCTACAGAGTGAGTTCAAGGCCAGCTTGAACTACACAGAGAGACCCTGTCTCAAACAAACAAACAAACAAACAATAAACCCCAAACAAACCAACAAACAAAAAAGGCTCAAGGATGCAGCACCAGTCCAAGGTCAGAGGCCTGGACCCTCCCTGGAGTCGCCAGTGCAAGTCTGCATTGGAAGGAAGAAGAAAGTGGCAGCCTGGAGACAGAGGTCCAAAGGTGATGGCAGCAGAGGAGGCACTTGCTCAAGACTGGAGTTCTTCAAAAGGGGGCACATTGCCTTCTTTCCCTTTTAATTCCAGCCAGCCTACAAGCCTATTGGTTGGTGCCACTTATAACTAGGGTGGGTCTACCCACCTCAGTTGGCTGGACTACCTGTCAGTCACCCACACACACACCCCGAACAGAGCTTTCCTGATCGCTAGGATTCTTGCTACAGTCAAGTTGACACATCACAATTCACAATCATGGCCATATTTTCTCCAGCTCCTTTCATGCATCGTGATCATAGCAGAAAGAAGTCAGGGAATCACATTCTCCTAGACACAGAGGTTATTTTGGGGTGGGTGTTTGTCCTGAGAGACAATCTGATTCAAAGGTAGCACAGGAGTATTTGTTGCCTAGGGGAAGAGAAATTACCCTTCATTCAAGGTTGCACAACCATGTATATAGTTAGTTAGATCCATTTGGTAAGGCAACCACTTATTATGTTGATTTTTTGAGACAGTCTCATTATGTACTTCAGGCTGGCCCTGAACTCACTAGACAGGCCAGGCTGGCCTCAAACTCACAGCAATCCTCCTGGCTCAGGCTCCTGAGTGCTGGGATGACAGATGTGCACCACCACACCCACCTGTGAGGAGCTATATAAATGGGCATGTGCTGACTTGTGAACACAGAGGCTACCTTGGTTACTTGGGGAGTGGTGGTGAAGAGAGTGTATTGGTTGAGCAGATTTGGTGCAGATTGGAGAAACATACAGAGGTGATTGATGTTTCTTTTATTCATCTCTTTTTTCTACAGATCTTATTACAGTAATCATTTTATTTTTTTTTTTGAGACAGGAGGATCTTGCTATGTTGCTCAGCTTGCCTCAAACTCTAGATCCTAGTGCCTCCGTCTTCTGAGTAGCTGGGATGGCAGACATGTACCAATAACAAATTTTTTTATTGTTGTTCAAGGGTAATGTTCTTTTCATTTTTATTTTTATTAGTACATGTTCACAGTATGCAGTGATCACATTCATGGCAGGTAGTTGGTAGGTCTACATAACACACCTGAGCTCTCTTTATGTCCCCTTTTCCTCCCCTCCCTCCCCCTCCCTTTGACTCTAGAAGGTTAGTGTCTCTAAGGAGAGGAAGGAAGGACAAACTCATGGGCCAAACTCATGGTGGGAAGTGAGTGTCCCCTTGGGAAGTGTGAACTTCTTGTAGGGTCTCATTTCTATGGCAAGGAAAATCTAGTGTATTCAGAGCTTGATCACCTCTCTCCCTACTCTGCACTGCCCCCTTTTAATAACCCACCCTGGGTTAAAAATGTACAACTGTACAGTTGGCACAACTGGGCCAGGACGCGGCAGGTGCTTAGCAGGAGAGGAGGGTGAGGGCCAGCACTCTGCGGGGAGCAGGTCCACCTTCATCTGCCCTGTGCCCTCCCTCCACCAACCTGGAGCCTCACCAGAGATGGGAAGGGGACTTCAAGGGACAAGCCAAGGTCATCCCTGCCTGCAGGAGGGAAGGAGCAGAGAAGTAGGGTGGGGTGCAGGAAAGCAGCAAGGTTGCTAAGTGTGGTGGAGCCTCTCCCATTCTTCTTGCATAGGAATTTCCACACTGTGGAATGACTTCTCATAAAACAAAGGGAAAGCAGAGCGTAGTGACCTGAAATCCTAGCATTCTGGGAGGCTGAGGCAGGAGGATCACAAGTTCGAACCCAGCCTGGGCAACTTAGCTAGACTGTGTCTCAAAATAAAAAGTGTTAGGGATGTAGCTCAGTGTTAAGGCCCCGGGTCCAGGCCCCAGTACTGCAAGAAAAACAAAACAAAAACAACTATGGTCATTCTAGCGCCTCACCCCTTAGCCCTCCTTCTTTTAAAATAATATTTCTTGTTGCTAGCTATTTAGGGTCATTTGCAAAAATAAAACGGACGCGGTGTAAAAAATTAGGAAAACAGCATAAAGGAGTCGTTAGTGCCATTGTTCAGCAATAGCTTTGAATACCTTTCTTTAAACAGTAATGGGGTGTCTGAATTCTTTTCTGGACTGCTTGCTTTCCTTCTACTCAGTGAGGGCCTCGCAGTCAGGGAGGACCCAGGCCAGCGGTCGACGCTCCGCCCACTGAGAGGCTGTCAGACTTCCACACTGCGGCTCCTTTAAGGAGGCGGGGCCTGGGGGCCCCGCGCTGATTGGCGGAGCTAGGAGCCACGTACAGGTGGGCGGGGTCTGGGGCTCCGGCCGCGCGGGGTGTGGGGCGGGCGTCCCTGGAGGGGCGCGCGGTGACGGATGATCGCCCAGCGGTGCCTGGTCAGCCTCACCTTCTGTGCCTGCTACCTGGCTTCCTACCTTATGAACAAGGTGAGGGGCGGGCGCGGGAGGCGGCGAGGGCGCTGGGGCTGCAGCTGGGTCCCGGTACACCTTCCGCTGGTCTCGAACTGACGGTGGCTGAGTGGGGTTTTCTGCACCCGCGTCCGGGTGCCGGGCCTGTCAAGTGGTCCCTGTGCACCGCCTGGGGAGCTGGGTGTGTTGGGTGTCACTGTCCCAGGAACTTAATTTTGGGCTGCGAGGTCCACTTTTAGGGAGCTCCCTGTGGGAAGGAAGAGTCCTGCTTCTCCCCCTCAACCCCCAAAGATGCCCCTGGCCCAGTAGGTCCCAGAAGCCCTCAAGTAGATTAGTCCAGGTCCCCCTCACCCCTCTATCTCCTGCTCACACTTTGTCTCCATCACAAGCATCTTAGTACGTTCAGGGGTTTTTCATGGGATTTAAAAAATTCGACGTATTTATTTATTATATTGTCTTTTTGAGACAGGGTCTTGCCATGTAGTCCAGGCTGGCCTTAAACTCACTATGTAGCCCAGCCTGGACTCAAACTCGAGGCAGTCCCGCCTCAGCCTCTGGAGTGCTAGGATCACAGGCTTGCACCACCACACCTGGCTTTTGGGACACTGTTTTATTTTCTCAACCTGAGCTTCCTTCCAGCAGCTGAAGCCCTAATACATCAGTTTGGACCAAGTACAGCCCCCCACCCCACATCCATGGCTTTAATTTCTATAGTTTCTGTTACTCAGCCACGGGTAATCAGGGTCCAAAAACATCAATCAGAAAATTTCAGAATGAATTTCAGTTTGTAAATTTTAACTTTTAATGCAGAATGTTGTTATAATTATTCTATTTTATGATTAGTTGTTGTTCATCTCCTACTGTGCCTAATCCCTAAACAGAAGACACCATGTACCTAGGGCTTGACACTGTTGGTGACCTCAGAGGTCCTACAGGGATAAAAGGAGACCCTTGTCAAGGCCAGGTGGGATGAGAGCTGGGCAGTGGACACCCTATGAACATGTTCTCCTGCCTCTAGCCTCTCTGCTGAGTTACTAGTTTTTTCCAATACTGGGGATTGAACTCAGGACCTTCGCATTTGAATTCCATCCCCAACCTTTTTGTTTGTTTAATTTTTTATTTTTTAATTTTGAGGCAACATCTTGCTAAGTTTCTCCATTGCCCAGGCTGGGCTCAAACTTGGCAATCCTTCTGCCTCAGCCTCTTCTAGGGCTGCGATTATAGGTGTGCACCACCACACCCAGCTTCTGCCAAATTAATTTACCTTTGAAGTAGTGAAGATTTTTTTTGTGTCTGTAGTGAAGAATGTTCTTCTCTTCAAGTTTTTCCAAGATTCAGTGCTAGAGTAGTAGTTGTTTTATTCTGTATTCTCAGTGTAGTTTTCTCCTGCAACTGTTCCCTCTTTATTTTTATTTCTTTCCTTCTTTTTGAGACAGGGTCTTGCTATATAGTTCAGGCTTGCCTTGAACTCTCTATGTAGCCCAGGTTGAGCTCAAACTTGGCGATCCTCCTGCCTCAGCCCTCTGAATGCTGGTATAACAGGTGTATGCACCACGTCTGGGTCCTTTATTTTTAGAAATGGAAGTCTTTAAAAACAGTTTTATCTTGTGTGTCTCAGAGTAGCCCCTTCTGTTATTCAAAGAACGGTTGACTTTTGTTTGAGGTTTGGAGCAGCAGGTCACGGGGGAAGGAAGCTACTGGGTCAGGCAGGAGAAGCCACGGTGCCCTTGAGTTCTGGGCTGGCCTGGTGAGCCTGTGACAGGTCCCGACAGTAACCTGGGCCCAGCAGACAGCTGCCTTCCTGACAGTTACTGAGCCTTTAGTTTGAAGGCAAAGTCCACTTCTGGTCCTTCAGGGTTCCTCAATTGCTCTTTCTCAGTGGCTTGAGGAATTTGTGAAGAGACCTTTTTACTCCTTATTTATTTATTTATTTATTTATTTATTTATTTATTTATTTATTTAAACAGGGTCTTGCTATGTAGCCCGGGCTGGCCTGAAACTCATGGCAGTCCTCCTGCCTCAGCCTCTACACCTGCTAGGATTATTGGCATGCACCACTACTTCCGGCCCAGGAGACATTTTTAGATCTAAGACTCCATTTGTCACAGATTTCTTTTTCCACTGTCCTAGAGCGAGGTGAGGCCAGAGCTTCAGCATTTTATTTTATTTTGCAGTGCTGGGGATTGAACTCAGGGCCATGGCCACGCTGAGTGAGTCCTCTGCCCCGAGCTGCACCCTAGACTGGGAGCGGCAGCGTCTTCGGCCCTGGAGTCCAGGCTGAAGCCAAGCACACAGGAAACTGACCCGACCAGGGTCAATAAGGGCGTACAGGAAATGACCCTGTGTCCTCTTAACCCTTTCTCTTCCTCCACTCTGGAGTGAAACTAGCAGGGAAGGGTAGTGGCGCATATCAAAAAACGAGTAAATAAACTTCAGGGAAGGCTTTCATAGATGTTAAATATAATATATAATATAAATACCTTGACCTTTCACTCCTTTTTTTAAAAAAATCATACAAAGAGTTAGTAGAGTCCTTTCTCAAAACCACATAATGGTTTTATTTAAAAAATTCTTAGGGCGGCACTAGGGAGGCTGAGGCAGGAGGCTCACCACGATTTCAAGGCCAGCCTGGGCTGCATAATGAGACCCTGTCTCAAAAAACCAGAAAAAGAAAAAGAAAAAAGAAAACGCTACCCAGAAGGACCAAACACAATTCCACCCATAAAGTGGTGTACTTTTGGTTAAAAGACATGATAGAAATATAAATTAACCTTGGCAGAACTGAATTCATGGAAAAGAAAAATGCATTCTCTTTAGTATGTCTTGAAAGGCCATTTGTTTGCCCAGTATATGATTTTGGAAGAATAAATGATTTTTGAAATTTGGATGTGTCTATGTTTTTCAGTAGGAATTTCTTTGATTCTATGCTCTATCAATTAATTCTGTCATTTGCAATGTCCACTAATCTGGTATTGTTTTTCAGTATGTCCTGTCTGTCCTGAAATTTACCTACCCCACATTGTTCCAAGGGTGAGTAGCTTTTCTGTCTTTTGAATACATTTGTGGGAAATGTTCAACCAACATCAGTAAATGTTCTTTGAAATAATTTTAATGACTGCACAGATTTATTATCAAGCATACTATAATCGATTTAGCCACCCTGTTAGAAGGACTTTAAATTGTGTCTACTCGAGGGGCATAAAAACAATATTATCAGATATTTTTATATGCAAGTTTGCCAATTTTCCAACTATTTCTGGAGGATAGAGTTTTACTTAAGAAATCTTGGTAAAAGAACGTGAACTTTAGCATTCTTGAATATGAATAAATTATTTTTAAAAAATGTTTTACTAGTTTACCCTGCTACCTGGCTTCCTGTGGAACTTTTTTTTTCTTTTGAGACAGGGTCTCACTATGTAGTTCAGGCTGGCCTCAGACTCACTAGGTATCCCAGGCTGGGCTCAAACTCATAGCAATCCTCCTGCCTCAGCCTCCCAAATGCTGGGATTACAGGCATGCGCCACCACGCCTGGTGGAACTTTTCTGTAATATTGTATTCAAACCATGACTATTATTTTTTTCTCCCTGCTGATTTAAAGAGCAAACAGTGGCATATTATTTTTGCTTTACAATTTCTCAGATTATTCACAAAGTATTCTCATAATTTTAGCTATTCTTTTCTCAGTGGATGGTCTTTTATTGCTTTTTACCCATTTATTTTCCCGGAAGTTTTAGTATTTTTCTTATTGATTTAATACAGTCTTGATTTTAATGATGTTGGGAATATTTTTGCAGTTTGTGCTTTGCTTCTTAGTTTATTTGTAATAATTTTGATAATGGATTGGCAAAGGCATTGTTCCTTTTGTTATCGCTTGATGTAGACATTTGTCTCTATTTCATCACCGCTGTGTTCAGTTTTGTCCACTGCCAGTTTATTCTAGGTCACGGTGTGCGCTGAGGGAGTCATCCCTCCCTGAGTTAACTGATTTCTATGAGTTGCAGTAATCATGGGTCCATCCTTTGGTCTCTGGGTTCTTAATATCATAGATAGTTATTTTTCTCTTTTTGGGTCTTTGTTTGTCAACTTTTATGTTAAGGGGCTTGTTTTATATTAAGGGGGTTGTTTTAATTATTATTATTATTATTTTTTGGTACCGAGGATCGAACTCGGGTCCTTGCGCTTGCGCAGCAGGCAGCGAAACCACTGAGCTAAATCCCAGCCCTGTTTTAATTATTATATCATTTACTTATGGTAGAGCAAGTCATTCTCATTTTTCTACCTCTTTTTCCTATTAGTGTTTTGGCTTTTCTTTTCTGGGGATTGAATTCAGGAAGCTCTGAGCTTCAACCCCAGCCTTTTTTATTTTTTAATTCTGAGTCAGGGTCTCTTAATTCCCCAGGCTGACATTGGATTTGTGATCTTCTTGCCTCAGCCTCCCAAGCCTATGGGATTGAGGTGTGCGGCCATACCTGCACCTGAACCATTGATGGCTTCCTCTGCTGTTCTGATGGACTTTCCAGGAGGGGAGGGACTTTATAACCTGTGCTTCGACGGTGGGGTGTGGGCTTCAGGACCGGCCCCTCGAGGCAGCACAGGGGCTGTGGGTTACACTAGGAAAGATCCACAGTTGAGGCTGCAGTGAGAACAAACCCTTGGGGTTCGGGGTCCAGAGAGGATGATGTCGAGGATGGGGCTCCAGATGTGAGTGCTGTTAGGGGAGAAATAAAACCCCAGGATCCAGCCAAGCCCACCAGGGTGGTGAGGGCAGAGGAAGGACTGAGGGACACCTGGCCGGCTGATTAGGATCTGCAGGAGGAGGATCAGGTTGGGGAGCAGTTCCAGGTAAGGTCCTCAGTATGTTACTGGGAACTCGTAGGACTCTGAGTGGTGGTTTCTGGTAAGAAAAGGGATTGGGGTTTTTCGTTTGTTTTTGAGGCAGGGTCTTGCTGTGTAGCCCAGGCTGGCTTCAGACTTGGTGGCAATCCTCCTGCCTCAGCCTCCTAAGTGCTGAGATCACAGATGTGTGCCACCTCACCTGGCTGGAAGGAACAGGGATTTGGGAGTCAGCAGGACAGGGATGGTGGCTGTGGGTGAAGTTATTCAGGAAAAGAAGAGAAGAAGAAATATGAAAGCCAGTGATTTCCCAGCAGCTTGGCTCAAGGGCACAGTGCAGATAGGGAGAGAGGGTCGGGGAAGTAGCACAAGTGGGAGAGAACAGAAAAGAGTTGTAAGAAGTGAATGTCACACTGGGCATGGTGGCTCACACCTGTCATCCCAGCACTCAAGAGGCTGAGGCAGGCAGAGTGACACAAGTTCGGGACCAGCCTGGGCTACACAGAGAGATCCTGTCTCAAAAAACCAAAAAAATGCGGAAGAAGCCCTAGAGGAGTTGAACACATCTTGGACTGCAGAGCTGTGGCTGCCCGGCTCACCCGAACGTGTCCTTTCCAGGTGGCAGGCGCTCCTGGGTGGCCTTTTGCTGCATGTGTCCTGGCGCCAGGGCTGGGTGGAGATCAACCGAGACTCCAGGTAGGCGGGATCTGCGCTGGGGTCATGGTTCACACCCTCGGGCCTGGGACCCCTTCCAGTGTCGCCCCCGGAAGCATGGGGTGTTTGGGAGGCTTGGGCTCAGTTTCCTTCTGACCTTGCGATTTGGTGATTTATAAAATAGCATTATCCTGGTTAATCATGCCCTGTGTGATAGTAAAGCCAATAGCAACATTTGAGTTACAGTGCTGAATTAATTTGACTTCGTTTTAAGTCATAAGATCACTCTACATGTGTGATTATATCAGCTTTAAATTATTTTTATAAATCTTTATCCTGAATTAGTTGTTTATTTTTGGTACTGGGGATCAAACTCAGGACCACTACCTCTGAGCTATATACCCAAGCCCTTTCCATTTTTCATTTTGAGACAGGGTCTTGCTGGGTTGCACAGGCTGGCCTCAAACTTGCAATCAGCTTCCCAGGTAGCTGGGATTGCAGTCATGTGCCCCCTCCCTCTCTCCCTCCCTCCCTCCCTTCCTTCTTACATTAAGGATTGAACCCAGGGCACTGAGCTACATCCCCAGCCCTTTTTATTTTTAAAATTTTGAGACTGAGTTTTGCTAAATTGCTAAATTGCCCAGGCTAAGTTTGAATTTGAGATCCTCCCGCCTCAGCCTCTCACAGTACTAGAATTACAGATGTGGCACCATGCCCGGGTCTTAGGCCTTTTACTATGTTTTCTGGGCTTTGTTAGGTGGTTTCACAGTCATACACATGATGTCCCCTTAGTTACACTTCTTGGCAAAGAGCCCTGTGTCTGGCTTTTTCTTGTCCCTGTGGTCAATACCCACCCGCGTGGTTCGGGGTTTCCGGTCCCCCTGGCCCTGGGGAAGGGTGTTGCTGTCAAGCAATGGGGTCCCTCCCGGTGTGCCCAGGCTGGGTCTGTGTGTGCGGTGGCCGCTGTTTCCTACTGCACCGGGGTTTCTGATGATGTCACTGGGACCCAAAGCCCAGCTTTCCTGGGTAACTGTGTGTTTGAGCAGAGTCAGTGAGGTTTGGCTCTGCTAAAAATGCAAAGGACAGCGGAAGACAGCCTGGGGATTGTAATGCTGGGGCTGGAGGGCTGGTTCCCAAGTGACTCTGGACAGCAGATGCCACAGAGGCTGCGGAGTGCAGAAGTCCCAGCTTCTGCCTTGGAGCCAGCTGCAGGTTTGCTGATAGGGCAGAGGCCGTGTCCCCTGCGACCCATGCTCTCGCTGACCTCACGCCCTGGCTCTGCCGCGTGACTTCGTGGAGCCCTCGTCCTCCCAGAACCTGCCCCTGGTGATCAGTTATTACCTTCTAGTCCTCAACAGTGCCCATGAACCTGGTGTCACAGCCCTGGTTTGCAGCCACAAGCCTGTCATCAACAGCGTGTTCTCAATTCTTGAGCCAGGGCCGAGGGATCCTCAGACACAATCCTAACTTCCTATATGCTGGGTTACTTGTGTACATGAAAATGCACCGAAAGACATTTTTAACTTATGTGTCACTTTTTGTTCATTTAAAATAAGAACAAATTTTGAGCATTCAGGTGTTCCTTTAACTTGAGAAGTTCTAAGTTAAAAATTCTATGCCATAATTCCTTTAAGACTGGAGATTTCTAGGGTGAAAGAGAATTCTCTTCCCCTTAATTTTCCATGAAAATCATTTCAAGCTGAGCATGGTGGCACAAACCTGTAATCCCACAACTCTGGAGGCTGAGGCAGGAGGATCGCTGTGAGGCCAGCCTGGGTTACATAGTGAGTTCAAGGCCAACCTAGAATACATAGCAAGACCCTGTCTCAAAAAACAATAACAAAAGACTCATTCCTGTAGAATCATAACACATTTATTTTTTTGGTACTGGGGATCAAACTGCGGTCCTTGTGCTTGCAACGCAGGTGGCAGAACCACTGAGCTAAATCCCTGGCCCCCATAATATACATATATATATTTTTTTCATACCGGGGATCAAACTCGGGTCCTTGCACTTGCACAGCAGGTGACAAAACCACTGAGCTAAATCCCCGGCCCCCATAACACATATTTTTGATGAAACTTCCAAGTTAACTTAGCACTGTTTGTAAAGCAGTGAACAGTAAGTTTTTCGTAAGTGATTATTCATTTTTAAGGGAGCTGGCCCATCTTTATCAAAGCTATTGATGGTTAGAATTCCCCAAGTATGTCTTCTTATGCTGGTATTTCATTTTGAGTTTGTAGTTCTCATTCTGTAGTTTTATAAAACATTATCTTTGTCCAGGGGAAAGTTAGCTCTCAACTTCACGTTTGTTTTGTTTTTTCAGTTTTGTGAGATAAGGTCTCACTAGTAGTTCAGGCTGGCCCTGAACTCACTATATAGCCCAGGCTTGCCTGGAACTCACGGAGATCCTCTTGCCTCAGCCTCTCAAGTGCTGGGATTACAGACATGTACAGGCATGCAACACCATACCTGGCTCAACTTCATGTGTTTTAAAGTACTTTTTCCTGGCCGAGGATTTAGCGCAGTGGTTTCGCGGCCTGCTGTGCAAGTGCAAGGACCCGAGTTCGATCCCCCATACCAAAAAAAATAAATAAATAAAATTCTTTTTTCCCTGTTTTCTCTCCAGAGGAATCCTTTTGTAGAAATTACTTTTTTTTTGTTTACTTTTGTGGCAGTCTCACTCTGCAGTTCAGACTGACCTTGAACTCATTACATGGCCAAGGCTGACCTTGAACTCCCTGGTGATCCTCCTGCCTCAGCCTCCTGAGTGCTGGGGTCACAGCTGTGTGCCACCACCTGGTGATTCTGCACGTTTAGAGAGGGGAGAAGGCCAGAGATGAAAGTATCCTGAATGATGGAATTTTATGGGAGCACATCAGTGCCCGGGCCCTGTGTTTGCCCAGGGACACTTCCACTTGTGTGCAGCTGCTAGGAAGTTCCGGACTTGAGACCCGTGCTGCCAAGTTCCAAATCTGGTCACCGAGGGGCTGGAGAGCAAGTCTCTAAGGCTTCCTGGGCTCTGCAGTCTGCTGCAGCGGCTCTCTCTGCTGTCAGAGAGGGTGATGGCAACACCAACACCATCACCTTACAGTTCCCGGAAAGGAGCCGCAGGTGGCAACAGCCGGTAGTCGGCTTGCACACTCCTGCTCTAACTCGTGGTCCGAGGACAGGATCTTCCCCGGGCTCTCAGGTTGAAGTAATATTGGGGCTGGATTTTTCTTTTTCTTTTTCTGAGACAGGGTCTTGCTGTGTAGTTCAGCTGGTCTTGAACGCACTGTTGGAACTCAAACTTGCAGCGACCCTCCTCTCTCACCCTCCTGAGTGCTGGGATTGCAGGCATGCAGGGCTAGGGCTGAACTTTGTCAAGGGAATGCACGTGTCCCTGTCTGAGTCAGACGGAAGTCAGGGAAGAAAGCTCTAAGGAAAGAAGGAAAAACAGGGAGACGGACTTTAGGGAACGCAGTCACCATTAGGGAACCAAAAGAATGAAGTCTAGGGCTTCTCTAAAATTAGCAAGTTAAAGTATGCACAAGTCCTCTTAACTGTGAGGTAAGCATTGCCTTGACAGTGGTAAGGAATTAATTACTATTGTATGGGCCGGGGATGCAGCTCAGCGGCTCTGTGCCTGCCTGGCAAGATACTGAGTTTGTTTATGTTATTATTATTATTATTATTGTTTGGTACCGGGGATCGAACTCGGGTCCTTACGCTTGCGCAGCAGGCGGCGAAACCACTGAGCTAAATACCCAGCCCCAAGATCCTGAATTTGATTCCCGGTACCAGAAAAAAAAAAAAAGAATAACTATTGCAATACCAGTACCCCTGTAGGAACCTTGGTACCTTGCGCTTGTTATTTTCATGTGGGCCACTAGGTGTCAGTAGAACACAGGCTGCCCCAGAATTCCGTGTGGGGAGCCCTCTGCTCCGTGAACAGAGCTGCAGAGTGTCTGCAGGGAGCAGATGTTCTCTCAAATAATGCATGTTCTATTTGAAAAACAAGTGATTTAATTTAATTAGCCTCCATCTCAATAACAATACTTTTCTAATCCGTGCCAACAGACTTTTGTTAGCTTCTTGCAAAGCGCTTTATTCGCCAGGGTTCTAAGGCATGGCAGGGTAGAGTTTGCATGCAGATGGAAACGAAGCTCGCTTCACACGGAGACAGTGTTCCTGCTCAGGAACCAGCTAGGGGAACTGACAGCGCCACAGTGTTCAAACCAGACTCTGGCACGAGGTCCTTCAGCATCAGGATCTGCAGTTTCTCGAGAAACTAGGACTCACTCGAGACCTCTCCTCATCCCTCTGTCCCTCTCCTCCCCAAAGCCCACACTCCACAGGGACCCGAGATTCCACCTCAGGACTCTATTCCATCCTCCTCTCTTGTGGCCAAACAGGGCAATAATGAAAAAAGAAACAAGATCAAGACAGCAGTGGCTGATGAGCTAGGGGCGGGGAAAGGGTCTGGATCGTTCTTCATTAGAACCGCAAAGCCTGGGTCAGCAAGGAGGGCGGCTCTGAATAACCTCCCAGAAGGCGACTTTGTTACCAGGTATAAACAAACTCCAGTGCATGTGTCTGTGAATGGTGACCTCACTTCAGGGAATATATCCTGAATGTTGTGAAAACATGAATATGAGAACAAAATATACTTAAGGATAATCAGAGCATTACAATAGTAAAAATGTAAGATGAACTTAAATGTCCAGGAACAGGCTGATACTATTTTTTTGTTGTTGTTTTGGGTATTTTGGACAAGGTTTCACTATGTACTTTAGGCTGGCCTTGAACTCGCTATATAACTGAGGCCGGCTTCCAACTCGCAGTGATACTCCTGCCTCAGCCTCCTGAGTGCTAGGATTACAGGGTTGGGCCACTATGCTTGGCAATACATCATTTACTATTTAATCAAGGATGACTTTTCTCGGCATGGAAAGAGCCAAAGTTAAACAAATTATAAAACAATATGTACAAAGGGATTCCAGTTTTGTTGCCGTGTTCAGATATGTTCACATGGACACTCTTCGGAGGACAGGAGCAAGGTATTAACAGTGGTTTTCTTTGGGTGATGGGGTTGTAACTACCATGTTTTTCTCCATCAGATATATTTTCAAAATTTTCTAGTATGAGTTGGTATTACTCTTTAATAAAAAAGAGATAATGTTTTTATAAAAAACAATAACTTGCCTTCATTCTGTGACTCTACGTGATTCTAACTTCATAGCTGTTGAAGATTTGTTCTTTTTTCAGTGCCAGGGATCCCACCCAGGGTTTCACACAGGCTAGTCTGGGGCTGTACCGCTGAGCTAAAGCTGCAGCCTAAGTCCCCAGCCTGTGTGTTTGCTTTTAATACAATTAGTTTGTTGGGGTTTTTCCAGTTAAAGTTGCCTTTGTTTTGATTTTTTATGTATACATATATACATTTATTAGTACATGTCTGTGTTATATAATGATGGCATTCATAGGGAGTTGGGACATGTACATAACACATGTTAGTTCTTTTTACTCTTCTTTCCCTTCTCTCACTTTTCCTTTTTAAATTTTTATTTCTTGAGACAGTCTTGCCATGTAGTTCAGGCTGGCCTTAAACTCACTATGTAGCCCAAGCTGGCCTCAAGCTCCTGGCAATCCTCCTGCCTCAGCCTCCTGGGTGCTGGGATTACAGTTATGGGCCACCACACCTTGCACAATTAATTTCTTGTCAAAGGTTACAATATGTCTGTTAACAAATGTTTATTAAGTTTGAAATTGTTATAATTCATTATTTGGACCAGTTTTGAGTCAGATATAGGATGTAGGCTGCTGTAAGCCAGGCTGGAGGCTCATAACTCACAGACATTCACTGCAGTGCTCTGGAGGCTGGAGGGTCCAGGGCAGCAGGTTTGGGTCTGGTGTGAACTCCCTTTCTGGCTGTGTCTCTGTGTGGCACCATGGGCACAGCCCTCCGAGGGCCCTTTCTAAGGACACCAGTCTCCTTTGTGAAGGCCCTGCCCTAAGGACTTGACCACATCCCCAACCCCGCCTTGGGGGCTAGGATTTCAGCCTGTGAACTTGGGGGGACACGAAGGCTTGTGAATTCCTTGCCACCATGTCTTACCAAACCCCAGAAGGCTCTCACCGCTGTTAACAGTGAATCCAAGGAAAAAGTTATGCTGATGAAAATATGTTTGACTCTTACCCTCGAAACCGAAGGGAAGGGAATCCAGAAAGCATCAAACATACAGTGTATTTAATTGTGAATTTTGCTCATTGGAGGACAGGTAAGGATCCCCAGTCGCCTACTGGATGTCTTCGCTTGGGTGTCCACGAAACATGTCAAGCTCGTGTTTCAAGACTCGGTGCCCGATTTCTCGCCACCAAACCTGCCCCAGTTCCCGTGTCTTAGTGTATCACTCCAGCCTCATTTCAACTCCCTGTCCGGCGACACCGGCGAGACCTCTTTGGAAGGCTCTGCGTGTCCGGCCCCTCCCCGCCCCTGCTGTCCCTCCTCCCACGCGGGCCGCTGCCTCTGCGCATGCCCAGTCTGTGTCTGAAGGGCTGTGGCTCTTGAGTTGCCCTGCCCTTGTCCCCTGCGCCCATTTTTACTTTGGATTTCTCCTCAGACATCACTTACTTGTTAACAGTGTCCTGTTTTCGAAAAGGGCTACAGGACAGTCTTTTAGTCTGTTTTGTAACATCTATCAGTGTTGTATTTTACACATTTTTATGAGCAAAACACACAGTTCTCACCCTATGCAATTTGGAGTGTATTAATAATAATAGGAAGAAGCTCCCTTATCTGACTGAATGCAGACAAATAGCGAATTTGGCAAAACCAGGGACTCATCTGTTGAAACAATCAGTTTATTTTAACTTCAGTCCCATATAAATATGCATCATTGACCATGTTAGGGTCAGGCTTTTCATTTGCGTGTGGATTGTTGGCTGGTATTTCCTCAGGTCTTTCCTTACGGAAACTACCCTTCCTGTGCATCTTGTGATTTTCATTTTGTTTTTTATTTTTGATCCGGGGATCGAACTCAGGTCCATGCCCTTTTGAGGCAGGCGGCGGAACCACTGAGCTAAATTCCTGGCCCCATCCTGTGATTTTCAATTGAAGCATATTCTTCCAAACGGATTGAGAACTTTGGTACTTTGAAACTAAATGCATGCAGAATCCTTAATTTTTAATTCTTTTTTCCTTCATCTCTCACACTTGCCCACTCCTGTGGTGGCAGCAGTTTTTCCAGCAACTCATATTTATTATTATTATTATTATTATTACTATTATTTTCCTTTTTTTCAGTACTGGAGATTGAACCCAGGGGCACTCTCCTACTGAGCTGCCTCTCCTCTCCTTTTTCTTTCTTTTCTTTTTTTAAAATGTTGAAATAGTGTCTCACTAAGTCACCAAGTTACCCAGGCTGGGCTTAACTTGTAATTTTGCTCCACCACCCGGAGTGCTGGCATACCAGGTTTCATTTTTTCTTTTGAAACGGAGCCTTGCCAAATTGCCAGGCTAGCCTTGAACTTGCGATCTTCCTCCCTCAGCCTCTAGTTGTGCGTCGTATTCTCCATCACAGCTGTGGCGTTGTGCAGCTGCTCACCCACGAGTGCCAAGCGGGCCCTTCTCCCACGGGTCCCACTGGATCCCACTGGATCCCCGTGTGGTTTCCCTAGTTGAAGTCATTTTTGAGAGCAGAGGCATTAAGATACAAGATGTTCCCTGGCCTTGTTATCCTTCCCTCACGCCCGAGGCTGCTCACATACCCAGACGTGTCTTGGGGGACGCGACTCAGCAGAATTCTGTTTATTTTAAGAGGGACCCGAGGGTGGATGTCTGGGGCCTCGCTGACCTAACATTCCCGAGTCAGGCCCCTCTGGCCGGCGCAGCCCTCCTTCTTAATCGCTGCTCTCCGGCACTGTGCGCCCCGCTGCTTCCGGTGCCCATGCCCAGCAGGCGTGGCCATGTCCCTTCCCCCGGGATGCACGTGACCCCAACCGGAAGCGCTTGTCCCAGAGGATTAGCAGTCGGCTGAAGTCACCCTACGCCCTCTGGGGCAGAGGCTGGCACTTTCCTTTTCCTTTCTCTGTGCACCTTTTGTTGGGGCCACACACCTATCGCTACAGCAAGGCTGGTGACAACGGAGAATGCTCTCAATGGTCAGCCGCTTCGTCCGCTGCAGGACTCCTGTTGGGTTGGGCTCGGGTTCGTCCATGTCCACGTCAGTGTCTCCCACGGGCACATGGGCACCTCGAGGGCCAAGTACCAAAGGAGGTGAAAAGCTGGGGCTTTGGAGCCATATGGACCTGAACTCAAGCTCTGGCTTTGCCATTTAGTTCTTGTAAGCTATAGGCAGATTACTCGGTCTTCCTACCTGGTTTCCTTATCTGCACAATGGGGTAACAACGCCCTGCCCCCAGGAGCCCCCTAAGTGGGAAATGCCCTGAGCCGCCTAGCCTGCGGCCCTCAGAGATGGCTGGGGCCGGTTCCTCTGCACTCCAGACACTTGCGGTAGCCCGAGGACAGAGTCGTCCAACCCAAAGCTTATTTTATAATCATGGGGTTTATTGAATGCTGGACTGAAAGTGAAAAACGGCCCGCATGGGTGTGCTTTCCTGCCACCATAAAGCCAGGGACTGCCTGATACTTTCTCGTGTGATTGCTGAGCAGGGCTGGAAAGATTCAGCACGGGACACACCAAGCACAATGCCTGGTGTGACGGAAGCCCTGCCTGTTAACAGTGGCACCGCTGTTACATCCTGGTGCCTTGGAAGTTGCCCTGAGTATACTGAATGTATTCAGTGAGAAAGATTCAAAGGACTTGCTAGTGCTGGAACCCTTGAAATGCTAGGCACAGGTCTGGTTTGGGTGCAGGGTTGGCCCCTGTCAATTATGCAAACAAGCCCCTCCCCTCTTTGAGACAGGGCCTTGCTATGCAGTTCAGATTGGCCTCCAACTTGCAGCGATCCTCCTGCCCCAGCCTTCCAAGTGCTGGGATTACTGGTGTGGCTGCCATGCCTGGATTGAATTTTAAAAAATTCAATCTTGGGCTGGGGATTTAGCTCAGTGGTTCCGTCGCCTGTCTCACAAGTGCAAGGTCCCAAGTTTGATCCCCAGTATCAAAAATAAATAAATAAATAAATAATTCATTCTTTTTGGTACCGGAGATAAAACTCGGGACCTTGAGCTTTCGAGGCAGGCACCAGCACCACTGAGCTAAATCCCTGGCCCAAAAATTCATTCTTTTAAAAAAAATCCTGTAATTCTGTGCTTTTTGTTATGATTCTGTCTAGCTATTTGCTGTATCCTAAGTAAATAGCCTTTAAAAATTTTTACTGCCCTACTTAAAATCGCCACTCTTGAGAAAAATCAGATGTGTTCTATCTCCCAACCTGCAGCAAGGCCTCCTCCATTTCTAACTCGGAGGTCTGAGGTAGGAAGGTCTCAAGTTTGAGCCCAGCCTGGGCAGGCAATGAGCAGCTGAGTGAGACTTTTTCTCCAAAAAAGGGGCTGCTGATGTTGCTCAGTGTGAAGATCCTTGGCTCAATCCTTAGTACAAAATAAAAACAAAAACAAAAAACCCCACATCTCACTTAACAGGTCCCTCAGGGATATTTATTTCTAACCTATGTGGTTGGAATTGGTGCTTTGGAGGAGATCAGCCCCTCCAGCTAGGTCTTTTTCAACATAAAGTAACAAAAATATTATGACTCCTCCCGCTCTTTCAGATCGGATGTGCTGACATGGCTCCCGGCCTCGGTGCTGTTTGTGGGTGTAATCTATGCAGGGTCCAGGGCCCTGTCCAGACTGGTAAGTGTTAGGGGTTGGAGATCAGCCCCTCCCTCCTCTTCCTCTTTGCCTTTTTTTTGGGGGGGTACCGAGGATCGAACTCAGGTCCTTGTGCTTGCAAGGCAGGCAGCGGAACCACTGAGCTAAATCCCCGGCCCCCCCTTGCCTTTTAACTCACTGGTCCTGGGACCAGTGAATGGAGGGCAAAACATCAGCTTTAATACTTCTTAAACTATACTGGACAGCAAGTCTTGGGCCAACATGGGACATTTCCCCCACTTTTATGCAATTGAAGATAAGTAGGAAACTGGGCAGGGCCATGTGCCAGTTAATCTTAATGGTCATCTTGATTAGACTAAGAGGCCTGGCGCGATCCTGGATCATGGGGTGCTACACTCACCAGTGGGTTAATCCACTGTTGTCCATAGCTGCACATGCTGTTATGAGGTTGGGTCCAGGTGATGGAGGATGGTCACTGGGATGCATATCTCTGGTTGGTGGATACAACTCACTGCTGTCCTCCTGTGCTCTCCTTCCTGGCTGCTAGGAAGTGAGTAGCTTTGCTGCACCACGCCTGTCTACCGTCTGACGTTCCTGCTTTGGAGCTGGCTGTCCATGGACTGGGCCCTCTGAAACCATAAACCAAATAAGTCATTTCCTCCTTTAAGTGGTGGCTGTGAGGTATTTGATCCCAGCAATGGGTAAGCTAACAAGCACAGGCCAGCTTGTCTCACCATTGGTGAAGGTGGAGATACACTGTTGGAGAAGCAGGAGAGAGAGTAGTGGGATTTAGGAGCCTGCCAAGGTCAGGTCCTGCTTGGGTGGCCTCCCCCAACCCAGGAGGGCAGCTCCCTTCCCCACTGCAGGCTACCACAGAGCAGGGGAAGGGCCCAGCCTTCTCCTTCTCCTACCCGTTGGTAACATGGCCAGTGAGTGCTGGGCTCAGCAGCACACCAGGCTGCTGTAGAGAAAGTTGTCCCTCTGTTTGCCCTCTGCTTATCCTCAGGATTGAGCTTCTCACATGTAGGAACTTAAGAACAAAGCTGTTTCAAGGGAACATTATTTAGAACTCTAAATGTTATTTTGCCATCAAAAGAGAATGCATTAAAACCACTTCTGGAAGGTGCCCTTCTCCCTCTCTCATACCCTGGCTGTGAACTCTTTCTTATCTTTCAGAAAATGTTCTGTCTTCTGACTTTTGGAAAAATGCAGAACTTGCAAAATAATTCCATCTTTTTATAGTGTCTGTGTTATGTTAGTCCCTGAGATCCCAGATACAAAACAGTACAAACAAACGCAACCCACCTAACTGGCCAACAGTGTTATTGCTCCAATAGCTCCAGGGTTGCCAAATAGCAGTCAGGAATGTAATTTCGTAACGAAATCACCATTTTCCCCTTGTGATTCATAAACTTGAGAGGTGGGATGACAGGCTTGCTGGGTGGGCCAGAACTGAGCCATAACGCTGCTGGTGTTCAGCTTGGCCCTCAGCTCGCCCCGTCATACCCACCTCGGCTTCTGGCACCACTAGCCCCTTTGAGTCTGCCACCACCCTTTCACCCTTTGGCCTGCAAAGGGTGATTCTTCTGCAAAGTACAGAGTAGTGTAGAGGGTTTGCTAAACCGTGCTGCTCAGAGGCTTTATAATTCTTCCAGGCTCTATTGTTATGGGTGCCATAGTTTTGAAGGTTGAGTAAGTAAGGTATTGTGCTTCTTTGGTTTCCAGAGTGATTTCCTTTTTTAGGAGGGGGTGGCTTTTTCAGACAGCCTTGCTGTGTAGTCCAGGCTGGCCTCCAGCTAGCAGCAATTCTCCTGCCTCAGCTTTCTGAGTTGGGATTTCAGGTGTGTGTCACCACACCCGGGTTCTTTGTATTTTTTCTATGATTCTCACAGTCACCAGACCTGTGACCAGGGAGGCAGATGCCAGGCACCTGGCAGAGGGAGAGCCATGGGCATCTTGCTAACCGGCCAGTTGTCTGAGGTAGTGGCAGCTCTTCGGGGTCCCCACCTTACACCTTTGCAGATTTGTTTCTTTAGGACCAGTGCAAATGGATTTTTTTAATGAACCCAGGTTATCATTGTCGTATGTAACTTTCCACTCTTTTGACTGCATGTGTTAGAAAATGCACAGACTCATCTAAGCAAAGGGAGTTTACTGGTTTGTATAATAAAAAGTTGTAGAGTACGCATGGCTTGATCCAGAGGTCTCATTTTAGTAACATACTCAGAATCCAGTTTCTTCCTGGGTGTGGTGGTGCACACCTGTAATCCTGGCACTCTGGGAGCCTGAGGCAGGAGGATCACAAGTTCCAGCCCAGCCTGGGCAGTTTAGGGCTGAGGATGTAGCTCAGGGCCAAGGTCCAGTGTTCAGTCCTGTTTCTCTTTGTCTTTTAGTTCTGTTCTCTGTGTTCCCTATTACACAGGCCCTGCCCCCTTGGGCACTGTCCACCCGGGGTTAAAGCCTCATACCTTTAGTGGAGGCCATCTCCTGCATGAGTCACAGGTTTAGTCAGAGCCACTGCCTGTCCCTGACCTGAAAACTGGCCTGGAGGGTGTGGGCCATGTGGATTGGCCAGCCCAGGTTCCTGGCTTGGCTGTCCCCCAGGGTGCTCAGCGAGACTCAGAGCCCTGATTAGCCAGCTGAGGTTACTCAAGGTCCCCGCTGGCCCCCAAAAACCTGGAAAAGGGTGTAGTGGATTCTCATAATGAGGTTCCTTACCCAAAATGAGTGACATCAGCACTAGGTGGCCCAAACCTCTCAAAAGTCCATCCCCATTGTCAATGTAGGTGGGGTGTCTTAAGCTAGAACAATGCTTCTCAGGGTGTAATCCCCATGGGGTGCTGACCTTTGACCCCTTTGTACCCAGATGGATGTCATCTTCAGCCCTAACCACACGCTGTTTAGCTAAGCTTTCATTTTTTTTCCACTGCAAGGCTGTTGGGAGGAGGAAGCAGGCATTGATTTACATTCTGGTGGGAGCTCCTTATCTCCTGAGAGCCAGCAGTTGAGGGGCCTTGGCTGGAGCACGCACAGCCTTCTTAACAGCAAGGAGAAGCTGCTCAATTCAGACTCTGAGCAAAGGGAACCGACCCAAGCCCCACATCCCCAATTAGAGGGGCAGGAGGAGGAGACACTTATCGCTGTTTTCTAGTTAAAGGACTCAACCCAGCATCTTTCCTGTTTTTGGAGTCCTTTGGGGTTTTTTACATAGCTGCTTAGGAATTCCCAGGATGGATAACACCAGGCGCTGCTCACTTGCAGTTTGTGTCCGATGGAAAACGGGCAGCAATACCCCGCTGGCAGCTGTCCTTTAGCAAGTCCAGAAGGAGTTGGGGGGAAGGGCTCAGTTACCTCCTAGGGGCACACTGTTATGCAGAACGCCTCCCAGGTAGCTCTGCTCCCTAAAAGCCCCCCTGATCTGAGGAGGCCTTGAAGTTCCCTCCTCCTGATGTGCTGTTCAGGCAGGAAGCTAAGCAAACTGCAGAGGGCCTGCAGGAAGAGTTCTCTCTACTTCAAACCTAAAATCCGTAGAAAGGAAAAGGGGATTATTCTTGCAGCTATCCTTTCAGCCAGTGTTTCTTTGGGATCTGCTGTGTGCTGGGGGCTTAAAGGCGAAGAAGATCCACTCTCGACCTTGAGGAACTGAAAGGGACAGGGCAGTGGGGAACACACAGTGCCCACGGGGACAGCCACCGTGAGTGTTCAGGGCTGAGCATGTGCCAGGCACTTCCTCTTGCCAGTCCTGATGGCATGTGAAGTTGGGCTGACCCTCCCTCCTGCACTGGCTCCTTAGGCCCACCTGTGACCCACGCTGAACACTCACTCGAGAGTCAGCCCGTGGCCAGCACAACTGTTACCAGGGCCTGGGGGCTGTGGGCTCCCTCTAGAGATTCTTTCTAGGTTTCTGTTGTCCTGGACAAGGCAGGCCCAAAAGGTAGTGAGGCTTTATGTTTATTAAAGATAGGAAAATAAATACACTCTGCAGAGAGAGAGTGGGTCACCGAGAAAGGGGAGCACTGTGGCCACGAAGCTGTTGGCCGGTGTCTGGATCTCCCGTTTCTCAGACTGCCCTCAGATTTGGCTGTCCTATCACAAACCCGCTTGCTCTTGTGCCAGAAGAACTGAAGATAGCATTGATTGTCCCCGTGCAGGGCTGGGGAACTGTTTTAGTCTTTCTGTACATGTGTGCTGGATCTGCGTGATTGACAGGTCACACCGACTTGCCCAGCTGGCTGGCCACGCTCTAATCTCCTGCCGCACAGCTTTGATGGGTCACTGTTACTGGTGATAAATTCCTGACCAGAGGACTTCTGAGCCTGGCAGGGTTGCCTCAACCTGTGCTGGCGAGAAGTCCCACAAGGGGCTGGCTTGTGAGCGGCCATCCTGTGCTGGTGATTTGGCTGCTGCTTCAAACCATACCATATTCTTGCTTAGGGAAGGCCAGGGTCAGGGACTCTGCAAATCCAGGTGAAGGCGCCTGGAAAGGACTGGAACTGGTCTTCCCTCTGGGCTCTTTGCTTGGTTCTTCCCTAAACTGTTTGGCACGATTTATCTCCTCCGTGAGCAAACCACATGGTGGGTGGACATGACGTGGAGGGAGGTATTGATGAGGGTAATTAAACTGGTGTGGAATCAGTTCCTCACTAAGCAAAATGGAACTCGGGGACCTCTGTTTCATTGGTTTTAGTATCACATGAAGGAACTCGCGTCCACAAAGGAAAGGAATGTAAATCTTGATGGAGGATAAGACTGACCCGGCCTTCCCTGTTCCAGCTCACTAAACTAGGCAGCTGTCCTCTGTCACATTGTTTTCTTATCAAGGTGACCAAAGTCCATGTACAAAGATTACTTTTTAAAATGTGGGCTGGGTGGCTGTCCAGTAAACCCCTCACAAGATTTTCATTATCTTCTTACTTCATCTGAAATATTTCCCTAAAAGCCTTATTAAAACTGGACCTTAGGGAAAAAGCTTCATGATATTTGATTTGACAGTGATATCTTGGATATGATACCAAAGGCACAGGAACAAAAGAAAAAATTGACTAATTGGATTTCATCAAAGGGAAAAACTTTGGTGCATCAAATGACAAAGTAAGAAGGCATCCTGCAGATGAGAGAAAATATTTGTAAGTCTCTTATCTGATAAGGGATTAATGTACGGGCTGTAAGAACTCCAAAAGCTCAATGGCAAAAACCCAAATAATATGATTCAAAAATGGGCAAAGGACTCAAATAGATATTTCTCTAAAGATAATACATAATGGCCATGAAAAGATGCTCAGCATCATTCATCATTAGGAAATTGCAAATCGGAACTATGTGAGCGACTACTTCATGCCCATTAGGATGGCTGTAGCCATAACAAGTCCTGTTGGTAAGGATGTAGAGAAATGGGAATCCTTTTGCACTGTTGCTGGAAATATAAAATTGTATAGCTGCTAGGGGAAATAGTATAATGGCTCCTAAAAGAATTAAAAATAAATTATCATATGATCCAGCAACTCTGTTACTGTGAGTGACGGGGGTCCCAGGGGACAGGTTTCCAGGTTCTTGTGTGTGAGGAACAGAGAATTGGACATTGCTTACAGTGGTAAGGAAAAGGCAGCTAAGTTTAGTGAACTTTAAAGGA